AAAAGTTTGAAATATACCAAAGTACATGCACGGACAGGAAGCACGCGCGCGCGCGCACACACATACACACGCACACACGGGGGGCTGCAAGGAGGTCCTTCGGCCCCCCTCCCGCACCCATCCCGCCGGTAGGCAGGGTGGACCTCGCTTTACAACTTACAAAGTACATTGTAAGTTGTAAAGCGAGGTCCACCCTGCCTACCGGCGGAGTGGATGCGGCAGGGAGGCCGAAGGCTCCCCTTGCAACCCCCCCGTGTGTGTGTGTGTGTGTGTGTGTGTGTGCGCGCGCGCGCGCGCGCGTGCTTCCTGTCCGTGCATGTACTTTGGTATATTTCAAACTTTTTTTGTTAATAACTTTTTAATAAGCAACGAGCGACGATTAAATTAGAAGAAAAAGTTACTCAGAATTATGTCCTTGACAACATATGTCAAGGTCAAGGTCATCGGGGCTGGGTTCCCTATTTGCTATATTTACCGTTATTAATACAAACGTCAGAAAATGACGTCTCGTAAATGTGACATATCAATTATTGATGTCATTTTCGGATCTCATGAGTCCTAATTTAGGACGTCTATAATTGGTCATTTTGTGATCAAAATTTAACATTTTTTGTCCCAATAAAACAACTATATATTACGTACATTGTAAACTTCATTTATTATAAGGAAAACGAGCAATGTAAATTAATGAAACATTTAAATGCCGCTATTCCATTTAAATTATGACAACAAATCCTGCTCGATTTCTGCTGCCAATCTGACATTAAACTGCGTTGTGCAGATCCTGCTCGGTTTCTGCCGCCAATCTGGCATCTAACTGTGTTGTGCAGATCCTGCTCGATTTCTGCCGTCAATTTGATGTCGACATAGGTTCTGCCGGCAGAACACAAGATTAAAGGGCATTCTATAATGGCAGTAACAAGGCTGTAGGAGTAGGAGAGTATACTGTTTTTAGTGATGTAAAGCAAATGGGAATTGCCCATTTCGTTACTCTCGGTCTTTACATCACTAAAAACAGTATACTCTCCTACTCCTACAGCCTTGTTACTGCCATTGTAGAATGCCCTTTAATCTTGTGTTCTGCCGGCAGAACCTATGTCGACATCAAATTGACGGCAGAAATGTGATTTAAGCCCTAAGCCTTAAGAAATTGACCAATCACAATCAAGTATGAGAAGAATACTCGACTACGATTAGTCAATTTCTTAAGGCTTAGGGCTTAAATCACCTATTGTAAACCGGCACTAATGCGGACAGTTGATGCCAATCTGCTGTAATATTCTGCTTGAATCTGCTCGCAAACTGCTGGCAGGCTGCTAACATTTTGCTTACTGGATCTCTTTTAATTTAAAAGATAAAATGGGGTGGCTACTTTTGGTGGGACACCTTGTATATATACAGGGTGCGGCATTTATAGTGACGCGGGCATATTTTTCGGAAACGATTATTAATAACAATAATTGAAATATGCAGAAAAAAAAATTTATTTATTAAGTAGTAGAAACATCCCTAACAACACACATGTCCTCTGGACATGTGTGCTATTAGGAATTGTCTTGTATAATTAATAATTAAGAAAATCCAATGATAATACAGAGAGAGAAGATATCAATATATCTTTGGTTATAAAATTTCCGATTTGTCTCAGAACCAAGTTATGGCATGACAAATTAAATATCTATATACAGGGTGTCCGGAATCAATCGGACCACCCGTCTTGTGCAGATAGAGCAGGTGAAACCGGTCGATCTTTTTTAATTAATTCACAATAATTATTACGAAAATCGCAAAATGATAAAGGACTTTTCTTCTCGGTTTCACTTGCTCTACCTACACACAACGAGTGGTCCCAGCAAACACAAAGTAACAGTAACATAACATCAATGTTATAATTTCTCACTCAACAATGTAACTGCAATATAACATGCCTTGTACGTAACAGTTACATTGTTGAGTGGGAAATTATAACATTAATGTTATGTTACTGTTACTTTGTGTTTGCTGGGGTGCGATTAACTCCGGACACCCTGTATATATATAATACATTCGAAAATGTCTAAACTGGAAATGAAGACATTTCTGACGTTTTCTGTACTAATGATTTTATGGCTTTATGGCATCATTATATCGTTGAAAACATGGTTGAAAACGTGCGATATAATGATATATGAAAAAATATCCTATATAGATATTATTAATGTCAATAATTAAAGTCATTAATATAATAAATTAAGGAATCGGTGGAACGATCAGAGAAATGGTAATGGTCAACGCTATTCCTTCAATTATACAAACGGAAACAGGAGAAATGCACGTTCCCCTAATCATAGTAGCAACAGAGAGAAACTTCTCTCTGGTAGCAATAATAATCACAACTTTGATTACTCTGATGGAATTGCCAGATCAAGTTATGATCAAATGTATAACACCAATTCTGAAAATAGCAAGGAACGAGAACAAGCTGTAAGATATACATTAATATACAATTATATTTTGTCCTCATATTATATTATACATATATATATATACATATATATATAATTAAATATTAATTATATAATATATGTTTCTTCAATGAATTAAATATAGTAAGTGTATAAATTGTTACAGAGAAATTAATAACAGCAGTTGGAATGTAATTTTTTCAATTCCGATTTTTTTTTTTTTTTTTAAACAGGTGGATCAAAAGGGATTTCCTAATCAAGACTCGATTATTCAGTTTATGACACATAATTTACATAATTCGGAGTTGCAGGACTTTATAGTCGAAGCCATTATAGAATGTTTTCATTATTTGGGTTTTGATATAAAGCAAGACAAGTGTTACTATTCACAAAATCTTCTAACTTGCCTGAACGAAAAAGGAAAGGAAGTATGTTTGCACAATTAATTGATAGATATATTTAAATTTGATGAGTGCACACAACAAAATTAAGGATCACAAAATAAATTTAAAAATAAATATAAGTTTATAATTTTAAAGCTCAATAGTCTCTCTAGTTACTACAAAGCCATAAATATTTTATTTTTTAGAGAATTGTATAAGAATAAACTTCAAGAATTCAAAAAATCTTAATATTCTTCAAAATTAACATTAAAATTAATAAAATTTTGTTTTTCAGAGATGTGAGGATTGGCATAATTAATATTGTACATACATTTTAATGTTCAATTAGCTAATAAACTGTAAACAAAAGAAAAAGTAGTAGAAGAAATCGATTATTCTTATAAAAATGTGATTTGGGGAAAAATACTACATACAGTTATTATGAGAAGCATATAGGATTATAACTATAAGACTATAATGATTGTACAAAGATATATAATAAATTAATATATTATTAATGTTTTCATTAATATTATAACATGTATATATACCGTATATACTGAATTCTTATATAGATAACTATATTATTTTCATTTCTCTCATCATAAAAGCATATATAGATTGTTTTATATATTTGTATATAATACACCTTTTTTTTATAAAAGGCATTACTAAATACATAGTTATCCTTTCGCGATGATAAAATAGAAAGATCTGTCAAATATTATTTTTATATACAATGAGCGTTACTTCCTTTTCTTTAAATCTTCAAATCGTTTCATCAAATCATCAAAATCAATATCATCGTTCTCGGGAGGATTTGCAGACGGATCATTGTTCTCTGTTGGCACTGCCGGTAGATCTGGGAGCTCGTAGTTATTCATTGGCATTTTAGATCTTGGTTGAGGTTTCGGTTTTTCATCCGACTAAAAAAAAATATATACAAATTATTTATGAAAGGGTAAAGTTCTCCACAAGATATTCAAATTTTATCCTTTGAATAAATATTAATCTTATTTTAATAATTCTAATAATTATTCGTTAACAAAATTAGAAAAAAATTTATTGTTTTACCTGTTTGTTTAAGTCAGGTGGAAAATCAGATTGGTATGGTGGTGGTAAATCTTCCTAATTAATGATTTTTTAAATGTTATTGTGAATAAATAAATTATTTTATTGTGAAAATATTAACTTATATATATAGTAATAAATTTATTGATATTATTTATATAAAATTATTAATAATAAAAAAAGCAAGTTACTCACGTGTTTATTCGAATTAGCATTATCCAAAGGTATGTTATACGAAAATGAAGTAGGATTAAAAGGAGTATTCTGATCTTTCTCAATCGAAAGTGGAGACATTGGTGATACAAATCCTATAGATGAAGTACCTTTTTCTGAATCCTATAACATTATGGCATACAATATATGATATAATGTTAACATAGTGATATATACAATGAATGTGGAAAAGATAGATTAAAGATCATATTTTTTATAAATTAGATCAAATTTCGTTATTGATAAAAATTAGTATAATACATTTATGATTTTATATAAAAAATAAAAAATAATTTAAATTACCACATTTGAGAGAGATCCAGGATCAGGTAACAAAGGTGCCTGTGGGAAACCTATAAAGCCAGGTGGGTGAGGCATTCCTCCACTGGCAGTGTCTAGATTGTTTCTCGATTCTCCTCCATTAGCTCCTATATCAATTAACATTGCATCTTGGGCTTCTGCCATCACTTGCGGATCTGGCTCATAATCCACATTGTAATTTTTAGCAATTTCTATCAAATATTTCTCCACGAGCAGTTTTGAAGGTGATTGCACACCCATCTTATGCTTCAATTTTTCTGATATTGTCTGAATTGCTTCCTCCCGGCATGCTTCTGTATATTGTCTGCCATATTTGGATGTCAAGATATCTGCTATCACTTTGATTTCCTGCACATCTGTTTGAATACGAGGTGCTGCCCAAAGAATAGTAGATATTGCTTCTGCTAAACCATCATCGAGGTTTCTAAATATAATAAAATAATAATAAATAGAAATTGTATTTATAAATTATATATAACAAAGAATCTTTTTTTGTTATAAAGAACCCTTTTAAATGTGCTACAATTGAATTCCAAAAACCTCGCCGAAACGAAAAAGATGGAAAGAAAGCAACTCTGAAATTTCAGAGAGAGAGAGAGAGAGAGAGAGAGAGAAAGAGAAACAGAGATAATACCCTACGAAAAAAATAATGTACTTAAATTCTAAAAATAAAAACCAAGCATCTTTCACTTCAAATACTTTTTTTTAATAAATTTCATGTATATTTTATTATATTGTAATATATATATATAGCAGTGCTAAATTTTATTATATAAAACTTTTATTTACTCTCTCTCTTTCTCTCTTTCTCTCTCTCTCTCTCTCTCTCTCCCCCTCTCTCTCTCTCTCTTAATTACTTTAATTATCTTTATTGATACATGCTTCAAGAAATTCTTTATCTGAAAATATTATATAGTTACATGTTTATTAAAAAATATATTCTATACAAATATCTTAATAAAATACATAATCAAATATTATGCGTTATCAAAATAATATAATTATCAGATAATATAATTTTAATATTAAAATATGGTATATAATAACAAAATTAATTTTCCATTGTATATAATTTTTAACCCCAATTGGTGCATTTCTTTCATGTCATTACTTTTGCAGAAAACGCAGATTTAAGCAATAACGAATACATTGAAACATGCTTTTTTGTACAACTATTCATGGAGAAATGTGAAATATATTAAAGAGAAAAAGAATCACTTTCTTGTATAACAATTTTTATTATATAGGTGTGTGGACGTGGTGCTTTTTTTTAAAGTAATTTTTTGAATAATCTAAACATAGATATATAAACAGAAAACAAAACATAAAAATTGCATAAATTGTTCATATTGTTTTTTGACAATAATACATACTAATTGGAAATTGGATCAATATTTATATTACATTTTTTCTACTTTAAATGACCACATATAAATATGTTCTTCAAATTTGCGCATTATATTATGAAAAATTATGTATACACATATATACACACAATTTATATATGTGTATGTATATGTGTATAATATACTAATAAAAAATAATTTTATATATATAATTTCAGTTAAAATTGTATAATTATAAGTAATTATTTATTAATAGTTAATAATTGTTAAAATGGTTAATTGTTACCCTATATACAGGATGTTAAGAAAAAGGTCATATATTTTGAAAGCAGGTAGTATTGATCAAAACAAGAAAAAAAGTCTAATTAACATGGGTCCTACAATTAATATCTTCAAAGATACAGGATATCTTTCTATTTGAGCTCTTTGTCCTTTTCTTATTGGTTGTGTCATCTCTATAATGCAATAAACACAAGAGTACTTACTAGTTTTGCAGTCAGCATTATAGAAGATGCTCTATGTGGTTCCTATTCATTGTCACAAATTTTTCAGGATCTTAGTCCCTTAGATTTTTGGCTATGGGAATACTTAAAGACCTTGATGTATTCAACACCCATTGACATACAAACACTGCAGGATCGCATTTTCAATGCGTGTCAGCAAATCCGAGAACAGTCCAATATTTGAAAGAATGTGAGATTCTCTGAGACATATGGCTGAAAAATGCGTGACAATGAATAAGAACCACATAGAACACCTCCTATAATGCTGACTGCAAAATTAATAAGTACTCTTTTGTTTACTGCATTATAGAGTAGACACAACCAATAAGAAAAGAACAAAGCTCAGAAAGATAGCCTGTATCTTCGAAGATATTAGTTGTAGCAGCCATGTTAATTAGACTCTCAAAACTACCTGCTCTCAAAATGTGACTCTTTTTTTTAACACCCTGTATATGTCATATTACAAGAATATACAGTTGCAATTTAATCTGTTATACACGGTTGAGACTCACTTCATCTGCTGAATTAGACCGAAACGTGCAAGCAGCAAATCGCAATACATCTCGAGCAATTCCATCGCCTCTACCATATAATCTTCGCGGATGATGTATTCCACGCGGATTTTGGCGCGCTCTGTTTTGCCGGCGGCAATATAATCGGCGATCTCTCGACGTGCCTTCTGTGCCAGCTCGGTCTTCTTCTTCTCCAGTAATTTTAACCGGTTAATCGCTAAACGTAAATGCGTCTTTAACTTCGTATAGTTCGGCCCACTCGAGAACATCTTCGGCAACGTCCTCGGCAAATGTCAGTTGCTCTTTTGCTACTTTATCTTTATTTTTATTTCTTTTTTTTGTCACAAAAAAGAATTCTCAATTTATATTTATTTTATTTTAAATATCAAAAGCATGTACATAATTAAGATTAATCTGACATATATGTATTGATATATGTGTGATAACCAGACCCTTGGTGTAACCTCTTCGTTAATTAGGCAGATGACAAATGACAAATGACAAATCTTGGATTACTAGATACTAGCAGTGTTGTTCTCGGGGACGCTTTCTCGCGCATGCGCGTTAAAAATCGAACATCCCTAGAATTATCTGAGTTTTGATGTAAATGGAAAGCGACTAAGGGCTCACGGAGCCGGGTGGTTTTTACGCTCTCCCGGGTGAATAGAGTGACAATTTGAACGTCTCACTTGAGAGTCCGGCGACAGCACTTGGGAGGAATCTGAACGCTCTCTGGATGTCTGGGTGCACCCGGGTGGGGAATCAGAACCCAGCCTGTGACATGTATATGTCACCTTACTTTTGCCATTGATTTCAATGCTAATATTTTTCACTTTTCACGTTTCCGCCCTAGGGAAAAAGTTACATGATCGGTACCCTGAGAGCCTGAGAGCGCGTCATTGCAGCGTCTCTGCCAATAAAAGGCCTACATGAAGCTAGCCGGAAGAAATTATTAAATATGATAATTTTTAATTTTTTAATTTTTATTTTGTTTGTAAATCGTTTGTGATTGATTGTGAGTCTGTTTTTAACGTTTGTGACAAATTAGGTTTTTTGTAATTAGCAATTATAGTTTGGTCATGATGTTAGCCGGAACTTTTTAGTAACAAACAGATTTTGTTATAACTGATAACTGTAATTGATAGGAAATCGTTTGTGATTTACAAATATACCAATGTTACAACCAATGTTTGTGAATTGATAAATTTTTTAATTACATGCAAAATAAGTTTTTTTATAATTGTAATGCGCATGCGCAAAGTATACTCAGGGCTCTTGCCTATAAAGTTAAGGTGCTTACATGGCAGCATTAAGCGTCGAGCGTCTGCGCAGAAAAATGCGCAGAATTTAAAAGAGATAGATTCTAGGCTGAAATTAGATTCTGCGCAATTTTCTACGCAGAC